CTTTCTGTCTTTTGCACTTCTAGGTAAAATGTTTTGATTTTTTTTTAAATAGCCATAACTTTTTAATTCCTCCTGCTATGTTATGGTCTGTTAAACGATGAGAAGACATTAAAAAGGCATGATTTTATTTAGGTACTAGCGGCTCCCCTCGCTTCGCTCGGGTTCGCCTCTAAGAAAGCACAAACAGATCTATCCCACGGGAACCGTCCATTTTTCCGGGATGAAAAGTAACCTATTGTTTGACCGGTAATGTAAGGTATCAGCATGCCAAATTTTACTAAATTAGGTGCATAAGTTGTTGTGTACTAAGCTGTATAAGTTATTAGTTTTTAACTATCCCACGGGAACTCTTTAATTTTCCGGGATGAAAAGTATCTAAGATGTTGCCCGGGGATATAAGGTACCACCATGCAAAATTTCATTTAAATCGGTCCAATAGATTCGGAGATTAGCCCGTAGAAACAGACAAACAGACAGAGAAACAAAATATTTGAAAAAAATCTGGATTTGGTCTATTTGTTTTCTTACATCCCCTTGACTCAATTTTTAGCATTTTTTTTCTATGTACAGATATTCGACCTCTACAGTTTTATTATAGTCTTCTTCTTCTTCTCCCTGCCCATTTCCCAAATCACTTGGGGTCGGCGCAGTACATAGTATAGATAGATATTGGTTATATGTTCTGGTAATGTTGTTTTGTTTCTTTATAATAAAGAATAAGTTAATTAAACAATAACTCTACCACCACAGCGCGGTCCAGATTGTGTGCATTATTTTATGGCACTAAATAATAGTAATATACTTTATTGCACACTAAAAGATAGAATAAATAATTTAAAAGAAAGCCATACTATGTTTTAACTACATATATAATGTAAATGCTCGACGACACGTTTGGCTCAGTTTGTAGTGACCCTTCTTGCTGTGCCAGCGGTCGCGGGTTCGAATCCCGCTGGGGGCATTCATTTGTGTGATGAGCACGATTGTTTGTACTCCAGTCATGGGTGTTAATATTTATAATATCTATGTATTTAAACTTATATATGTGTAGTGTAACAACTATGTATCTGGTATCCATAACACAAGCCTCGTATCTTACCATGGAACTAGATGATGCTGTGTGTTAATGTCCCAACATATTTATTTATTTATTTAATGCTTAATAATTTATGTACATAAGGCATAACGCTTCATTAGAAGTACATACCTACCTATCCCAAATCCCGTTCCCCATAGTTTATATTTCCCCATGCATCTGCATTCCATCACTTGTAGAACGCCGTTAAAAGTTTTGTACTGTTATTTTATTTAAACTAGTCGGTTAAAGTTTATTTTCACTTTTTTCCTTTCATTTATTTTTCAATTGATTATTGCGTGCTAAAACAGTTAAATTCTATTTCTAAACAAAACAGTAGGTATATGGCAGTTAATTCTGCATTTTTAAACCCATAATATGTAGAACACGAGGTGTTGTCAATATGAATGTTATGTTTATATCTATCTTCAATTCTCTCTTTCTTCTATTCTATCCATACTTAATATTATAAATGTGAAGGTGTGTTTGTTTGTTCGTCCTTTTTTCGTGTCAAAACAGCGTGACGGATTGGCATGATTTTTCGTGCAGAGATAATTGCGAGGGCTGGAGACTGACATAGGCTACATTTTACCGCGGGAGATTATCTCATTCTCACGGAAAAACACGTTATAATACAACCCAAAAAATATGATCAGAATTACTTGAAAATTGGTATTAATGCTCTTCAATACAATTAAATAAATACGTGTTTTAGCATTTTTCGAAATTCATCTCATAAGGGGGTAAAATAGAGGATGAAAGTTTGCATAAAACCTACCTTTTTAGAGTTTTAGAGACAGCGAAGCCGCGGGTTTTGCTAGTATACCTATATATTTAATTCCTAACCCAAAAACTTATAGATCGATTTGGATTGAATTAATCGATCGAATTAAGTTAATTGATTTGAATATGAAATATTATTTAGTTCAAACGGGACGATTTTTAGTGTGTTTGAAGAAAACCTGTCAAGTTCATTTTAAAAGTTATGAGTTCTTTCTCGAACTGGTGTGAAATTCGTAGAACTTTCCATAGATTGTTTATTACTTTCAAGACATTGTTCGTTGTAGAATCTTTTTTTAATTTGTTATATGTTTGAACCCATTCAATTCTATCAGAATAGAAGTTGAGAAACTTATTGTAAAGTCTTTTTAGTATGCATGCTTACTATACAATGTAGTAGATCCTACATAAAAGCTAAGGCAGTGGTAGCCCAGTGGTAACGCGCTCGCTTGGGAAACCGAGTAAAGCGGGTTCAAATCCCGGGTCTCGCACCTCTGATATTTTCATGTGCGAATCATTTCCAACATGATTACCACTTGTCTTACAGTGAAGGAAAACATCGTGAGGAATCCTGTTGTCTCAGAGAACCTAGCAAGTTTTCAAAAGACATGTGAAGTCCGCCAACCCACACTTGGCCAGCGTCGTGGACTATGGCCTGATCCCCCTCGATAGAAGGGAGGCCCGTGCCCAGCAGTGGGACATTAAAAAAAAGCTGAAAACAAACTTTATGTTAATCTATATCTACATATTTTTGTATGATTAAAGCTTAGTTTAAGATTTACTATTTTTGCTGAACTAGCGATGTACTTTAACTATAACACTAATGTAATTAATGAATTTTGAAAAGATTAGTTAAACTAAAAAGTGAAAATCAGTAAAAGGTAATACAACAAAGATATTTTTGTGTTTATGATGTTATCAAGGATGTAAGGTAAATAAAAAAAGCATTTACTGAAATATAGCTTTAATCACTTTTAATAATAATGTTCATATTTACATAGCACTTAATCCTATATACGATTGAATGTCTACAGTAAACATTGTAAAAACTGTACGTACGTACATCTTTAAACAAACCATTAATTATAAGGTAAAATCAATAACTTATTCACATATAAATCGGTACAGACATACACACATTTCCACAATCCGATTCAACCTTATATAGAATACTCTAAGTTACATGATTATCGGTCTAGTTGTACCTTGAAATTAGAACTCATTAAAAGTCAAATATTGTGTAAAACTGACAATTAAAAAAAAAACATCCTGTACAACGAAAACTCAACTTAATGCTAAAATAGCAAAATGACAAACGTATACATGTCATTAAAATACATTAGAATATAAATAACGTTAAAAAGTGATAAATAAGCACCTGTAAATAAAATAAAGTCGAAATGCACCGTAGAATATAAAAATTGTGCACTGTATATTTTTGTGAGTGAGTCAGTCAGTCAAATAAAAATCATTTACTCATATATTTTAAACTAGTTATTGTATGATAGTAGGATGCATTTAGAATAAACACATAAAAGCAACAATCAGATAACCTTATGTAATAAATAAAACATACAGTCTTAATAATAACTTATTTATCATAAAAGTTAAATATTAAAATAAAAATATTTATAGTAAACATACATATGTTTTATTAATTTGTTGTGTTAAAACGGTGGTCACAGATGAAAAAAAGTTATGAAACTCATTAAATAAAAACATAAATAGCTAGATTAAAAAATATAAAATGTCAGTTAAAACATTAAAAAATAATAGTCACTTAAAAAGTTTTAAAAAGTAAAAAAAATATACGGCTGTACCTGACAAACAAATTATGTATTTTACACACCATGTATATTAAGAACAATTACAACAAATTTTCTTAGATTACTCAGCTATTATTTACATTGACAAAAGTATACTGAATTTGGGTGCAAATCGACTAAATTGTACAATAAATCATTAGGAACTATACCCATATTTATAAATACGTACAATTTCATACAATCTGTTAAGAAAAATTATGTTTTCTGGGGTATAGCTATATCCCTCGAGAGGCAGAGAGACTCGCCGGAAAAAACAGAGACTTTATCTAACTCTCCGTTTAAACTTTCCGCCGAAATAGACAATGCTTGTTTGGTCAATTTTCAAAAAACTCATTTCCATAATTGCTGGATAAGAAAAATGCTGTATATATTGCCATACTTCTTTCAGGATTTGAACCTCTTTCCTTTCACGTAGACAACAGAAACACTGATAATATTATAAGGTGCAATATATAATTTCCAATAATAAGGTTCCAATAAACAAAAAATGGACATCGAAATCATTTTCAATAACTGAATTTCATTTACAAACATTTTAGTAAAGAGATTGTTGAGTTAACTTAATTTATTATTTTATCTGATGGCGTTCATACGTCTTCAAATTTTCTAGTTTAAAAAATAAAGTTACAAAAAACAGTCTTAGGGCGAGCTATCAACTAAAATGATATTAACTTAGAAGAGAAGTTAATTATTTTAGTACGAGAAATATTCTTACATATTGCAAATATGAAATATTTAATTTCAGATGAACTTTAGAAGTTTTGAAAGCTACAATTTCTTAATTATTAAGGTGTTTTAATTCCAAAACGTGTTTACTTTAGATGCAACATGTGTAAATATGGTTAAATGAAAGAGCGGTATTCAATCGCTTTATAGAAACTATTGACACGATCAATAGTTGAAAAGCGTTTAAACCATTCAGTCTCATATAGAAACGTTTTCCAATAAAGCCTGATTATTGGGAGAGTTAGAACGTGGAATTAGTATAGGAATGTCGAACAAATTTAGAATAATCAGTCTTGAGAAATCGATGGAAACGCCGCAGATGGCAAGCAAAGTCGAAAATAAGTCACTGTTACTAGTTAACAATAAATACTTAAAAATAACGTATTGTGTACAGATACGTTTAAAATAAAAATGGCTTGTTCATTCATACTTAGCGCGAATGGTCCAATTTTACGCAATAGTAAAAAATCTAGCACAAGTTATTTACACGAGCACCGCAAAATAATCCACTGCACGTATCGTTCACTGATATCACGTCACTGTATCACTAAAAGCTCGTTGGCACTTTTGTTTGTCCATAGCTTGAACTACTACACTTCCGTGCCATCCTCGCCTTCATCTTCAAACAGTGGCTCATTTGGATTCACCTCGGTACTTGGCTTTTTCTTAGGCTTGGGGGGTGGTCTTGGTGGTATTTTGCCACTTCTCCCCATAGTTCCAGATTGGTTCATCGATAAATTACTCTCGTTCTTCCTCGGATCATCTTTAGATGGAGAACTCACTTCATTGCTATCTGTTCGTGGATTTCTTCTTAGAGAACCAGTTTCTGGTTTTCCTTTTCGACTTAAAGTGCTGTTATCAGAAATTTGGGACTGAGCATCTGCGTTTCTGTTATCCATGATATTTACCATTTGTTTCCTTGGTTCTGGTTGTGGGGTCGATGTATTCTTGGCTGTCCAACTCATTCTAGGACTTAATGGTTCTTGAGGTCCGGGAGTTGAGATTTGATTAGACAATTGGGAACTGATGCTATTTCTTGTAGGTGTGAATGGCGGTGGAACAGGAGAAGGGGCTGGTTCCTGTTCTTCTATAGGAGCGTAGTAGATTGGATGAGGATTAGGATATACAACTGGTGTAGCTGGCAATGGTCTATTCCTCATGGGGGAAAACTGTTGTTCCAGGCCAGCTTTATTGAGTGACAGAACTGAACTACCGTCAGCCGTTGTTCGGAGACCCAAATTATCATACAATGGTTCCTGAGCTTCAGCACTGGGTAGTATAGCTGTTGATGCTGTGCTGGACCAAGATGGTATCCTAGGTCTTCTAGGTATAGTGACATATCCTTGCCGAGGAGTTACCACTGGTGGTGTGATTGGAGCAGTAAATGGTGATTGTGACCGAGAATATGGCAAAGTACGGAAGAGATTCTGATTGGTGGTCATACCGTAGATCGGAGAGTGTATTGGGCTTACTGGATTAATTTGTAGCCTGCTTGTGTCAGGAACTGTAGATGCATTGCTCGCTGCGGGAGATATTTGTGCAGCTCTTGGAGGGAACGACAGAAGATCTGGTGGATAAGCGCGCCCGTCAGTACGCCCATACTCAACATTAAGGGCATCTTGAGAACGTTTTGTATGTTGATCAAAGTCTAGGGACCTTTTCTCGTCGTCATTGTGAGCTGAAAAAAACCAAAAAACTTGTTAGTTAACAATTCATTTCAAAACAAACATTGATTAATCTAACAAAATAGTAGTAGCAATTAAATCAATTATTTTTAGAAGATCTTGATCGACAGACATATCAAGTAGAATTAAGTAATCACAGTTGCAGTACTCAACACTGCGCGTCGACTTAATCATATAAGAGCAAACCTTTTTTTCTGTTAATAAAAATATATACCGCGAGCGAGAGTCGAATCAAAAAATAGCAGTATACAATATTATTATTCAATTAGAGATAATCTATACATATAATAAAATTGTAACTAATCCGAATCTGTACATTAGATATTTTTTGGAAAATCTCATTGAAATAGACATTATTATCGATACAAAGGCCGAATCTATAGTTTTTAGATTTTTTGTGTGTCTGTCTGTCTCTTATCGCATCACAGAAAGACCACTGGAGGGATTTTGATGAAATTTGGTATGGTGATTGCTGGTTATCCGGGTCAACATATAGGATACTATTTACCGCGGGAAAATATCTCATTTTTGAGAAAAAATACAAAAACTGCAATGTAAGAGTATACTAATATGTAAAACCTAAGATTTGATTTTTGGTCATCTTAACTCGGGCGGAGCCGCGGGCAAGCTAGTATATCTATATAATACACAAAAATAGTATTCTATTACAACTTTTTAAACTTTATGTAATTTATGTAAATTAATGATTCTAGGGTTTATTTTACTTACCGAAAACAGAATCACTATCGAGCAATGTCTTATTTAGTTCCGACATTTCTGTCGTACTAGTTATCGACAGAGGTGCATCATATCTTCTTGGTGGTTTAGTTACTGGATTGACTGCTGTTATAAGACTTTTCTCCATTTCTGGTATCACCGACCCTTCGATCAGAGCCTCTCCATTTGAATTATCTTTCTTTTTCTCTGATCCACGTCTTCTACAGCAGTAATAACAAAGGATGACCAGAATTATAAGTAAAATAGCTGCGGCACACGATCCTCCTATTAATACTGGTAGCATATTATTATCCATGCCAGGTGGTACAACTATGCCTGGTGGAGTATGAGTTATAGCTAAAGTTAAACTCCTTTCTTCTACTCCACCCGCATTCTTAGCAACACATAAATATTCACCGTTATCATCACTATCGGCATCAACAATTGTTAAGTTAACCCATTTACTATTTTCTACATTACTTTGTGAAACATAATATTTAATTTCACCCTGATATCTATAAGTGCCATCTATTATTTGAGCATTCAAGACCCAATTTACTTCTGGTAATGGATTACCATTAACTTGACATGATAGAGTTATATTCGTATCTGATGACCTTAAAGTAGTCTTAGAGGAAGGATAGACTATGCTTGGCCTGCAAGCAAAATCACTGGAATCTAACTCTTTCCATAATTTACCAAGGACTTTAGGTGGTTCCGCACACGCTATAGGTGATGTGTATAAATTCTTACTGATAACCCAATTTCTAAAAGGTTGCAAATAGCAGTCACATCTCCAAGGGTTATCGTGTACATCCAAATTAGACAAAGATGTCAAAGCGCTTAGTGCATCTACTTTCAAATGCTCTAGTTTATTTCCATCAAGGCGTAAAATATTAAGTTTTGGCACATTCATAAATGTTTTTACGCCCAGCTGTACTATTCGGTTGTTACTTAAATCGACCTTTTGCAAAAATGGCAGGTTATTAAATAGGCCATCTTCTAATTTTTCTATTTGGTTATCATTCAGCAAGATCCATCTTATTTTCGCTGTCTCCCTAAACGTATCCGCGTGCAACGTTTTGAGGTCGTTTTTCGATAAATCTAATTCGATCATAATCGCGAGGCCGCTGAGTCCGTTTTTATGAATAGTAATTAACTTGCATTCTCTTAATATGAGCTTTTTTAAGTTTATTAATCGGACATCTTCGAAAGCGTGCCTCGTGATTTCGTATAGCTCGTTGTTTGTAAGGTCTAGTATTTGTATTTCTGCGCTGAGAGTTTTAGGTATGTCATGGAAGTTTGAATGTGAGCAGTCGGCTTGTTTATTTCCGCTGGCCCAGACACATTTACATTCTTGAGGGCAGTTCGCTGTGAAATCTGCTGTGACGAACGATATCCCCAGGCTTACTGCGAGTATGTAGTGTAGCGTTCGAATTTCCATTTTATATTTCTTGGAATCTGTAACAAAATAATATGCATGTTAGTTTTATACTTTTAAATGTAATATTTTTGAAGTTATATCAGATGTAGAGTATATTTTTGTTGAAGAATTTAAAGAATTGTAAACTTCTAGAGCAAATTTCAAAGTTAAGCGTAAAAAGAATCTAAACTATATTGTAGTAAATATTATAGTAAATATTTAATTTTTATAGAATTAAAGTTATTTAATTTTGAATTAACCATAACGCAACAAAAACCTAATATATTAGTCAATATTACAAAATAAACTTGATATTCTCTTTGAATTCACCTTAAAAACTACTAAATCTACGTGATCTAGTAAAAAATTACGATTTTAGAGGCATAATATTATAGAAATATATTATAAAAAAGCCTACAGAACGATAATAGCGTAGCGTATAAGATTTCAAATTAAGTCGTAAGAAATTCAATATACCCAAAAGGTTTGTCACAATAGCAGGCCCTATTAGAGCTTTAGGACGAACATAAAAAACGTCTCACATATGTACGTTTAACTGTTATAATAGCAATAATACTTAAAATAGATGCAATAACTGTTTTAAATTAAAAGCTTAGGGTAGCTTTGAAAATAACATTTAACTTTAAAGCTAACAAATGTGAGGTATAAACAGATACAAAACTATGCTTAGATAAACATAGCATCGTAAAATGTATTGAGATGTTTAGAGAAGTGATGATAGAGTTCTTCGTATGGCTTGTTTATTATAAATCACAAGTTTTTGTTTATCGCGGGTGATGTTTCTATCAATGTGGCCGCGTCTTTATTTTTTTGGGCTGGTTTCTGAACATCTGCTTTTCTTTATACGCCTTTTAATGAGTAGCCCAGTTTTAGTTAACGTGCGAAAAGTATACTTAAAGTGATTATAAAGCTATGGTGAAACGTTACGTTGAACCATGAATTTATACAAACAACGCTAACTAAAGTTGAATGAAATATTACAAATAACAGCAAAACTAAAAATATGTCAGAGTTAACAGAACCAGAATAATAATTACAAGTACGAATATAATTTTATTTATTTTATTTATTTAGGTACAGAAACAGAAAACAAATAAAAATATTACATCTACGTATAAAAAACTACAAATATCATTTTAAATTGGTTGTCCAATTATATCTACACACAACATTCAAATAAAAACATAATAATTATATAAACAAACTTAACCAGAAGGTGAATATTACAGTTCGAGTCTGTGCATTTAAAGTTACGAGTACATAAAAAACATTAAAAAACAAAAAGAAAATAATATATAAATTTCACGTGGAAAAAAAGACGAAGAAAAGAAAAAAAAGATAAAGAAGAAACAGAGACAAAACATATCCAATTTCCCATAAAAAACACCATTCTAATCTCTTTTCATCACGATAGAGCAAAAATAGCGGTCATTTTAATATTGTATAGAAATAAGTTAATTTAAATTAATAGAAAGATAATAATATCTTGTATGAATGTAAACATACATAAAGTTGAAATAATGCAGTATACAAAAATTTAAAACGAAAATTATAAGTGTTACTATCCACCTCGCCTATTAGGGCGCTATAGCATTGCATGGAACTCGTATATCGAAGTAACACATCTTTTGTCGGTGTGACTGATTGTGAGGGTAAGTCAATACATTGGAAAAATGAATGTACCGGAAGTGTGTCCCAGAAGTGAGAGTCAAATTTATTACTAATAAATTTTTTATCCCTCAACGACCGCGGACACGCCGGCGTTACAGTTAACAATAGATTTCTTAAAAATTTAATTAAAATATATATATATATATATATATATATATATATATGTGTGTGTGTGTGTGTGTGTGTGTGTGTGTGTGTAGATTAATTGTCAGCCGGTCTGTTATTTTTTTATGAGTTTTGTATCATAATATAGTTATAATGACACACTACTTACATAGTACAAAAACTTCATTACAGCAGATACACGCTCATTGCGTCTGCGAGGACAATCCAATTTTAATTAAATCGAACAAATTTCAAGGGAAATATGCAGTTGCGTTGTATAAATTTTTTACATCAAACGATGGTAATTTCGTATTTCGCATACGAAAATAAAAGTTATTTTTTAAAAAGGTATACGATATTTTCATTTATAAAGCTGCCAACGATTTAATTCACTACAAGTTTTTGTAAAAAAATAAATTAATTGACCTTAAAAAGTTTACATAGTTATATTTTATATCCTACTAATATTATAAATGCGAAAATTTGTGAGGATGTATGTCTAGATGTCTGGATGTATAGATGTATGCATGTTTGTTACGCTTTCACGCAAAAACTACTGAACAAATTTTAATTAAACTTTCCAATAATATAACTCATATATAAGAATTACACATAGGCTAGATATCCCGGAAAATTGAACGGCTCCCGTGGGACAGTTTTTTTTGTTTCTAGTTCGATAGTTCTAAATAAATATAAAGAAAAGTTCAAAACACACCTTTTTTTCGCAATAAATGAAAGCTGTACGAAGTTACGTAACTTAACGATTAAACTTAAAAAAAATTAAATATTGTAACAACAAATATAAAAGCTTTTACTTCTAGTGTTACATTTGTCGCCCTTAACAAGCCTAAGCACATCACGTAGGCACTATTTTGTTTCGTTGACGAGCTTACGACCCCATCATCCAATACAATAGTGGTTTATTCCTTGCAAATCCAACAAGCATAAACAAAACGTGATAATACTTTGTAGTTTAGAACAGTTGGTTGACATCAACATAACAGACAGTGCAATACTTTTATTGATATAACTTAAAGCTGAGATATACAAATATCATTTTACGAGTACCTAAAGATACCTAAAGATGGACATATATTGCAAAAATTAAATTGTGCAGACATGTTTAAGTTGCATGCTTAGATTACGATACGTTCTGTAAAAGAAATTAATTTTGTAATCATAACAATTTTAAAAGTACTTTTCAGCAAATAATCGAACATACACCCATCATGCTAAAGTATACGTATATTACGACCACTGTACCACTACTATTAGGTAATATTACAACAAAAAGCTATTCAATAGCTTCTCAATAGCCATAGTTATCACGTTTGCTATAGCATAGTTATCGTATTAGCCGACATATGTATATCCATCAGGCAAACGAGGCACACCAAATACGCGTTTGATTTGACGACGGAGTAAAAAGCTCGTTAGAGGTAGTTTACGATAATTATCTTAAACGCGGTGACGCCGACGCGTGAACAGAGCAATTTGACCTAAGTACGTTCCACTGTGTGATCTCCCGTATGATTGTATCCGTTGTGGTACATTGGGGGAGAAAATCTTAAAATGATTATTTTAAACCGCATTGATATACAAAAACTCAAGATACAAAATTAGCGTCTCAAAAGTGGCCTAAAAAGAAGTGCACATTTCGAAATAGAATTGCGCTTTTTTTCAAATCTTTTTTGTTTATTGGTTTTCGCATAACATTTTTTTTAATAACTTCTAAAAAATACTTATGATCTAAATGTTGTATTAGAAATTATACTGCTTGATTAGTCAATAAATTTCACGTGACTGACAGATAGGCACAGGATGATAGGAGTCTTCGCACAGACACTTTATTAAAGCATGTGTATTAAACAAATAACAAAGTATTTTTTGGGTCTAATTTAAAAATTAGTATACGTTTATGAGTAAAAATATTACTTTTATTTATCCCACTGGAAGTTGGAACCGTTCATTTTTCCGGTATAAAAATTATGTACTATTCCAGACTATAATCTATCTCTGTGCCAAATTTCATCCAGATCCGTTCAGCCGTTTTGGCGTGATTGAGTAATAAGCATCCCTCAAAACATCCAAACATCTCAATTTTCACTTTCTATTTATAATATTAATAGGAACCACCTAAGAAATCCTTCTATTTTTATATTTTACAGGCACATACGTACACACGTTATTATTTACTAAAAACGCTACCGCTTATGAATTACACACATCTAATATATATAGTGAGAGCGAGTGTGACTTCGCTCTCTTTCTCCTTACATACATAGTACATATGTAACGTAATGTCGTAATTTCGACTCGCGTTATTGGACAGACGATTTTACGTACATATATTATATGTCTACATGTAACATGTACCAGTTCTCCCGCGAGGGAAGAGTTTGCATATACTATGTGATATATGTATAATAATTTAACAGAAAAAATATGTTCTGTCTTTAATTGTATTTAATTTGATTGCTTTCAACTATTTCATTGGCGCGCACTTAGGTCTACTTGCTAGTGCAAGAAAAAAAATCCGTATCTGGTGGTTCTCATATAGTTATATTCCCTCCTCGACCGCGGATACGCCGGCGTTACAGTTAACTATAGATTTCTTTGAAATTTAATTAATTTCTTAGAAATTCACCTGGAGGTGATATTAAGTAATACATTTTATCTTTCGAAATTGACAATAAAATGGAATAAATAAATAGTTCTATATCCACTATAAAACCTCAAATAGAATTGAAGCTGTGACCTTTGACATGTGTCAATGCTTGCATTTACTTTAAGTTTGGTTTAAAGCTTGTTATTTAAGAATGTCTCCGTTATGTTCCGGAAGACGCTATTTTTAGAGGCGTGTACGTGATTTTGAGAAGAACTTCCGACTATTTTTACAAGTAATTCAAAATGAAAGTAAAACCATTCACGTCGAACTCCCATATATTACAGTAAGAGAACCAACTATGTACAATATGTTTACTGCTAACTGCTTAAATTTTTATCTTCAACTATCTCTTTTATTATAAATAGATATATGTTTATGAATGTTTATTTTAAAATATATACGTATATTGTTTACACTTATGTATCCATATCACCTCGGGTAAATTTCTAAGAAATCTATTGTTAACTGTAACGCCGGCGTGTCCGCGGTCGTTGAGGGATTAACTATACCTACTAATATTATAAATGTGAAAGTTTGTTTGTTTGTCTTTCTTTCA